TTAAATATGATTTAACCCCACCTTTTCCGGTAGAAAATGTTCGGCAAATATATATATATATATTACACAAACTATCATACAAATATGCAGAGGACAGGATGTCTAGTAATATAAGTTATTATGTGAATTTAATTTAGCAAAAAGTCGGAACTAGTCGTATTAGACAAAGTGAATATACGAGCAGGTATTTGATAAGTACTCCAACAAAAATTTAGTCTTACCTGGTTGCATATTTAGCCAGCTTCTCCTCCTCCCAGGCAGTGTTTCCTCCCCCAAAGTTCTTATTGGCTGTTCTCTCCAAGCCCTAGAAAAAATAAAAGTTAGGGTCCTAAAAACATTTTTTTAAGGTTTGCTCAAAGAAGACAAGCAACCATTGACAGTTTCTTTGGATACAAGGACTACCTTAATGAAACTCTCAGTGAGTTTTTTGCAGGTTTGGCACGGTGCTGTCTGGACTCTCACCACAGAGAGCTCTGAGAGAAGCACCAGAGCAGGCAGGAACGGCCAGGCCCACCACATGATCCTATAGACAGCATGCATACAAACAAACATACAAACAATTAATGTTTAAAAAAAACAATCTTTTTTTTTATATATAAGTTTTGTTTAAACATCACAGCAAGTGTCATCAAATGTACCTACACTTCCAGAACAAACTGCGTTTCTAGAGATCTGATCACAACTATGTGGTGAACAATACAAAAGAAACTGTAATACGAACCCATAGCTGTGCAAAACGCACTAAAATTCTTCTTCTTGCTTCCTTTATGAGTCAGCATGTCTTCTTCTTCTTTCTTTACTATATCCATGAACCTCCTCTGAGCTCTTCCTCTTTTCATTCTGCCTGGCAGCTCCATATTCACCATCCTTTGCCTAATATATCCACTATCCACCTGCATATGACCAAATCATCACAGTTTGCCTCTCTAACTTGCTAAGAGCTGACCCTCTGATTTAATTTCAAATCTTGTGCATTCTGGTCACTCTTGATGAATATCTTAACATCTTCAACCTCCAGCTCTGGCTTCTGTTATTTATTTTTTTTATTAGGGCTACCATCTGCAAACCTTATGTCACAGGAAGTCTCATTACCATCTTGTAAACCCTCTCTTTCACTTTTATGGTTATCCTTATTTCACAAGTTACCCCTGACGCCACCCTGCCTGCACTGTCCTCTTCGTCGCTCTTGC